GCCAGGCTGCCCTTGGGGGCCACCAAGCAGCCCCAGCTGATGCCATGAGGCTCTCCCTGAAAGCAGAACCCCGGAAATGGTGTCAAGAGGTGGGGGAGCGCAGAATCATGGGCCTCCATCTTCCTTTAGCTCTCATGAGATTCCTGCTTGTGGCAAGGATGACCACCTGGGGTTGGCAGCACATGGCACCCCCAAAGTAAGCCCACATGGATGCTTTCTGGTCAGGGGGAGAAAGATTGTGACTTTATATGGCTGTAGGATACAGGAATGGGCTGGAGACACCCAAACTCAGAGGGCAATCTTAGCATCCCCCACAGTGGGTTAAAAAGAATGAAAAGATCTTCTGATGGGAGTTCATGCAAAGGACACAATATCACTCAAATGAATTATAACTAAAGACATACATGTATCTATCAAACCTTTAGATAAAGCCTGCTAATCCAGCAAATGCTGGAGATGAGGAACAGGGTCAATGCACCACTGTGGAAGCAGCCACATGGCGCTAGAGGGCGCCCACATTCTCAGGACAGTCTGCTTCGTCCCACAGGCCACTGTCCTGGGAGATTAGAAGTTTTTTAGGGACACAACAAGCAGAAACGGCTTGGGGGGGGGGGGCACCTGGGTGGCTCAGTTGGTTATACACCTGCCTTCAGCTCATGATCCTGGGATCCTGGGATCGAGCCCCACATTGGGCTCTCTGCTTAGTGGAGAGCCTATTTCTCCCTCTCCCTCTACTGGTTTCCCTGCTTGTGCTTGCTCTCTTCTTTTGCTCCCTGTCAAATAAATAAAATCTTGAAAAAAAAAGAAAAGAAAAAAAAGGAAAAGAAGAAAGAAAGGAAAAGAACAAATGGCACCAGGAATGTGAGGGCCGGATATACCATTAAAAGACTTTGGGGACACTAGGGAAATCCCAATCCCTAGGTACTAGGCTGGATAAGAACTTGCAGGCACAGACAGTTGGAGATCAGTAAATGAAGAATGCAGGTTATAAAAAGCACATACAGTAGGACCTCATTTGAGCAAAAACAAACAAAAAAACCCCAAACAAAAAAAAACCCCGTCTGGATGTGCATATGTCCATAGATCACCATCTGAAAGATACAGAACAAGGTTATTAACAGTGGTCATTTCTGAATGGGGGAATAGAGCATGTTTAGTTTCTCATCTTTGATTATACTTTCTAAAATATATATATGGGGAGAGAACATATATATTTCGCATTTTTCAAAACAGGGAGCTGATGAGAGGTGATGAGGTGGAGAAAGTGAATATAGAGTGCTCTTGATTTGTGTTGCAAAGGGGAGCGAGTCAAGGGGGATGTCAGGTTAGGAGCTCACTCCCTCTAACATGCGTGACTGGAGGTGGGGAATGGGGCAGGAGACTCTACTGCACATCCGTGGAGGGACCACCTCTGATGGGATGTGAAAATAAACTCATACAGCTGATTGCTGCTGCTCAAATACTTCTTACAGATTCTTGACAGTAGTGTGATGGTTATTCCTTGAAGAGAAAACCAAGGAGGCCTCCCGAAACGGTGCGCGTGCTCAAGGCGCTAAGCCTCTGCACTCATCCGAGGCCAGGGCCAGGCTCTGCCTGACACATTGCTTCTGTCGTGGATGGGCCACATGAGAGCGTCTCAGTGTCGGGGCCGGACACGGAGACAGGGTAAGGCCACCATGTGCTTCTACCCTGGCCCCTACCCACTGACCTGCTGATACTAAGACAACTGGCCATGGGCTATCAGGAACATAGATATAGAAGAGGAAGCTGGCGCTCTGCACCTGCTCCGCCCAAGGGAAAACAAAAGCATGAACTCTGAGCACCAGTGCACAGTGACAGATGCCTTTCTCCTCCTGAGATGTGACCAGGAAGTAGCTCGCAGGATGCTGCCAAAGTGCCTTCATGATTTCTGTGTGGCGTCCATCAAGGTCCTGCTTCCTGACCTGGTGGCAAGATGACACACTGCATGAGCTGGATGACGTCGCTGTTGAGCGGAGGGGCTGTCACCAAGGAGGCGACAAAGCACTGGCCACCTGGGTGCTTCTCTGTGACAGATGGGGTCAGCCTCGAGGCTCTGTTTTGCCACTCAAGGCTGTTAACACTTGGATGAATTTTCACGAGGCGTATTCATATTCTTAAAAACTGACAGAGGTCACAAGCTGACGGAGAGAATGCTTGTGAAGGATGACAGAGTCAGGATTAACTGCAAGAGCACAAAATCCAGTGACCCCAATGGACTCAGGCATCATGTGTGCCATGCTGGTCAAGCTAAGGCCCCCCAAGACTGTCAGTTGCAGACTGTTACACTGCTCAGGCTCTATCTGGAACATTACATTCACCTTGGAACCCACATTTGTAGGGGCACCAAGATGGTGAGGTTCTGGGGTGGGGTGGGGTCATGTGGGAGAGGGCTGGACAAACTCTGAGTTGAAGCTAGAGAGATGAAGATTTAGAGCTTAGCTCCTCAACAAATGGAGGGAAGCCTGTCTCCTGAGATGGATCAATTTCTTCTGTTTCACACAAGGGCGCCTGGGGCGCCGTCATGGAAGCTGTGGGAGCCAGGATTCAGTTTTGTTTAAGGAAGAACTTTCTGACAGTCAAAACTACACAAGACTCCGCGCACATGTGTGGAGGGCCTTCCTTTCATTAAAGCCATCTAAGTGGAGGATGGGCAGCCCCCTCAGTTGATTTCCTGCCCTTGAGCCAGGTGTTGACTGGAGGGTCTGTCCATCCATCCTCACGCTTTAAAAATTTTTAGATTTTATTTATTTATTCATGAGAGACACAAAGAGAGGCGGAGACATAGGCAGAGGGGGGAGCAGGCTCCCTGCAGGAAGCCCAACGTGGGACTCAACCCCAGGACCCCAGGATCATGTCCTGAGCCAAAGGCAGATGCTCAACTGCTGAACTACTCAGGTGCTCCACGAACTACTTCTTTAAAATGAAGAGATGAGACTTAATCTTATCCGTTTATCCATGAAGTCTGTATTATAATCCTAGAGCTCCTTTCAATCTTGCACTTAAATTCCACATGGAAGGAATAATAGAAATGATCCATTTCATGGGACTTGAACCCCTATGTTCTTTTTTTGAAACTACTGACTAGTGCTGGGGCTCAGAGTGAAGACGTCCCTGATGATGTCTGACATCCGTGTGCAAGTGTCACAGTTGGTAAGAGTGGAACAGGCTTCTTGTGCAAGCTCTGCTTCCCTTTCCACACACAAAGCATCTAGAAGCTGCTTCTAGAATGGGGCTCTTCACACAGAAGCCACCAGGGGCCAAGACTCCTCGAAAAGTATGGCAGAACTTTGTGCTCATGGCATTTTCTTGGGAGGGAGTACCATTTGCCTCAGCCCCCCCTCTCCTCCAATGGGACTTATAACTAAAAGATGAGTTGGTTCTACACCTGCACGAACACCAGGTGTGCTCGGAGGCATGCCCATGCTCCCTCCTCACTCAGGCTCCGGGTTGTGCGGGGCTGGGGCTGTGTTAGAGAACTCACTCTGAAATTCCCTCTCATCTTTAAAGCACCAGCAGAGAAAGGGCAGAAGCAAACACCCTTGCTCACAAGGACACCAGGCCCTCAAAGCCTTGCTCTTTCAAAGTGTGAAAGGAGTCTGTGGCCACGGGCCTTGAGGACACAGTGAACAAGTTCCCAATGGCCACTCGCAACAAGATGTGATCGACCACTCTGTCAGTCTGTTACCAGTTTTCCTTACTGGAAACAAAATATTGAATAACTGCCTTATTGCCAAAGGTAACCTTATGCTTAAATTCATACAATAGCCAGAGGAGCCTCAGGAACTTTTGAAAGATTACCCTCCCCCTGCCAAAAAGCTCTTGCTCCACTCCATTTACCCTTTCAGTCCATAAATAAAAAAGTATTTTAGTACTGTCTGCACTGAAAGTCTGAAGGGTGTAGAAAAAAATGGGACCCAGATCTGTATCAAGAGAAATATTTTCCTTCTAGAGAACTTTAAAAATAAACTAGGGCAGCCCGGATGGCTCAGCAGTTTAGCGCTGCCTTCAGCCCAGGGCATAGTCCTGGAGAACCCGGGATTGAGTCCCACGTTAAGCTTCCTGCATGGAGCCTGCTTCTCCCTCTGTCTGTGTCTCTGCCTCTCTCTCTCTCTCTTTCTGTGTCTCTCATGAATAAATAAAATCTTTTAAAAAAAATAAGGCTAACTCTGGGAAACTAACTAGGGGTGGTGGAAGGAGAGGAGGGCGGGGGGTGGGGGTGACTGGGTGACGGGCACTGAGGGGGGCACTTGACGGAATGAGCACTGGGTGTTATTCTGTATGTTGGTAAATTGAACACCAATAAAAAATAAATTTATTAAAAAAATAAGACTAACACTCATCTATCTGGAACGATTCTAGCTCTTTTAAGCAAAGAAGAGAAAGCGAGGCACTGAGGACCCTTGTAGTCCTGTGATTTTAAATAGTGAACATCTTTTTTAAGTAGGCTTCATGCCCAGCATGGAGCCCAAAGCAGGGCTTGAACTCATGACCCTGAGATCAAGACCTGAGCAGAGATCGAGTTGGACACCTGACCAACCCAGCTACCTGGTTGCCCGAGTAGTAAATATCTTCAAGTACCTCAAAACTAGGAGTGAAATCAAAGTGGCTCATCCTGTTCACAAAACTAGAAGCACATAGGCACCATTAAGGATTCTAAGTAAGACAAGGAAAGACCCCTCGGTGTATCCTCCTGGCCACACCTTGTGAGAAAAACACTTATACCAATACTCGGGAATATTTGATTTGTATACTTGCATATTTTTGAAAACTTGAGATTCAGAAATTTGCAGGACGTTTTCAGTAACAGACGAATAAGAAACATTTTGCCTTTTGATTAAAAATATTTGCTAATATTGGAAGGAAATGACGACACTCCAACATCCACCCGTGTTCACGTTAAGTCTGTAATCAGAGATGGTGATGTAGAAATATAGCCAAGTGTCACTTAGAAACACACAAGAACTGGACATGCTATATACTTCTCTTTTAAAATGTATCTGTATTATTTTCACTAATCAAAACACACATAATATATTTTATTATAAAACATTAGGCAATGTTACTTTTGAGATCTGCGATCTGAAGGTCACACCTGTATTTACTACCAGCATGAAACACCAGAGGAGGACATTAGAAATCAACCAGACAGACTCATACATGGTCACCATGACTTACACAGTATTGAATCTGGATTAAACTGCTGGATTATCCCATCCAGAGGTTCAACCAGGGACTCTGGGTGTCAGCAGGGGGCCCTGCCAAGGGTTTTCTCCTTCCAGCATTGAGGCTCTGAGTTTCGTGTCCCCAAGAGAAGAACAGAGCCCCACTTCCATTTCTGCGACCACGACTGATCAGCACTGAGCAGTCCGTGTTTCCACAATGTTCTCCTGCTCTGATAGACCCTCTCTGCTCTCTGAAACCTGCACCTGAGGTCAAGACCTGACATAGGGGAGGCAGTCGTTTCCTTTTTGACTGAAAACTAAGCCAACAAATAAAATAAACCTAGTCCCAATTCCAGGCTAATAATAAATTACCTGGTTTATAAAAATATGTGTCCAAAATAGTTACTTCCAGGGTTGTGTACAATATAAATTACAAAAATAAAATAGAAAAGATGAAAAAGTTGAGCACGTTTTAGTTCTTTTCCCAACATCAGCATTCATCCATAGACAGCAGTTTGAAACTGTCTGCAATGTACCAGGACCCTGGCACATTTTGGCTCAGGTCGGAGGACCATGATGGGGGCTGAGGTATTTCTATGGGAGCTCTGCTCTCTGCGGCCAGTGGCCTGTCCCACCCCGGTGCACTCCTGCTGTCTGATGGGTGGTGGGCATGGCAGGAAGCCCACCCACGCCCAGACAAGCTCCATCCAAGAATATGCAGGAGGAATGATAACTAAGTAAAAAGCCAGTCTGCAGGGGCACCCAAGCTCCTCTCAGGATCCAGACCTTGGATGGATACAGGAGCTTCACAAGCCCTCAGCATCCCCAGGCCACGTTCACAGAAGCCTAGGGCAGTTCATACATTTAAAAAATTCTCCTCTCTCTTTTTCTATTTAAAGATAGATTTAGTGAAGTCTTTTTAAAGAATATGTATTAGAGAAAAGGCCATTTTAAGATGTTTATATATAGATAATGATAACTTTCTTCACTATACCATCAGGCCTCCAAAGCCAAAACCATCCTGAGCCATATCATAATAGGTATTTCTCCTTTAATCCAAGTCAGAATTTCCATCTTGTACCTGAATGTGTCTAAACCTCACAATATAAAACTATTACCTTCAATAATAATTTTGTTCATCAAGGGTTCCAGTTTCCAGTGATCAGACCCACCAATAAGATACAACTGGTGCGAGAGAATTGTATCTTTTTGATAATATTTATAAAATTTCTTATCAAAGTTCCTCCTCAGAACACATTCTTATAGAATGCTGACCCAATAGCTTCCAAAAACAGTAAAACACAAGATATGAATTTTTAACAGAATAAGCTCATGGGGCAAGCATTAGGAGCACAGGTAACCAAAAAAATGTGATCATTGTAACTCCATTTCTGCAGTGACACTTCAGTACTCAGTAGCTTAGTGAACTCTGAATAATTTCCACATCAGAAAGTCTGAAAGCATCAATTTCAGGTGAGCAGTTTTAAATCAGAAAGTACTCGATGGTTAATCACCACTCTTGAGGGCACTTCCTCCAAAAAAACCCCATGAGGAGGTTTCCCAGAAAATTCATGGGTTTCCCTTAGGAAAAGGGGATGCTCCACGAAGTGGAAAAAACCACCACCACCACCACACAGGCGTTTGGAATCGCTTTGCTTCCTCAAACAGATCCAAGTGTGGGGAGGTTGGGGGTGGATGGATGGGGTTATGTGGCTTCTTTCAGCAAAGAAAGAAAAGCCAAATAAGAACGTTAGGTTGGAAATTGGAAACGCTGTCCTGGGAGATGGTGCACCTCCCCAGGAATGAGGGAATGACCCTGACCAGGCTTGGGGGAAGCAAGCGCTCAGGAAGTCACCACAGTCAGCTTCAGTGACCGTCTTGTCAAATTCTACTCTCACTGCTAATGGACTTGAGCTTCTGCCATTGTGTTGTTGACATGAAGTGTTAGGTGCCTGATCAAGAAGGCGAAGTTTTAGGTGGAATTTTAAATTAATAAGTCCAGAAGACCAGGAAAAATGAGTGAGGGTAGATTAGGATTTTAAAGGTATATCTGTCTTAAGCAGCACAAAACTTAAAATTTTATCATGCAATAAAGATGAATGTACACTCATCCCAAATTCAGACAATTTAGAGGAAACAAAGTGCCCATATAAATGTCTAGATTTCAGCAGTGATAATTCTCAGCCCAAAACATGAAAATTTAAAAAAAAGTTGTATTTTTTTATTAAATAGATTTAATTATATTCCTTCTGAAATACAAAAGATAGAATAAATTGTATCATAAACGGTAAGACGTGATAATATGATGGTGGCCAATTAACACATAAATCTATTTTTTCTGGACAGACACCAAATTACTTGAGAGGATTAAGAGATCATTCTAGAAGCAGCACTACCTGGAAGATTATTTGGCATTTAAATACTGATTTCCAAAGTGCTAGATGGCAAGTCTGAGCAAGCACATGTGGTCACATGCATATAAGTCCCAACAGTTATGAGGATGAGAAATTGTCACTATGACCGCACAACTTAAAAAAAAAATTGTCTATTCTAATTGCTCACCTGAAATGACCTTGAACAAAATCTCTAAGAGTGTGGCTTGCACGTGTTTTCTCCAGACATAATCTGCTTCATTGTAGAATCTAGGCAGGCAATCCTATTAGAACTGAGTAGGGGCAAGGCATCGTGTTTCTTACATGCAGAACATGGAGTTTTCTGTTTGGTTCCATCAACCCCCAAGCATTTCAGGCCCATGGAAGCGAGAGCTCCTTCACTGTTGACGAGCTTGCTACTTGTGACTTATCATCGGCAGCCTTCGAGGGGTCCCGTCGAGGCATCAAGGCTGCTGTCTGTGTCTGAGGCCAGCGTCTGCTCCGTGGACATGGATGAGATGTCATTGATGGATGATGACCGGGAAGGAGTGGCATTGCTACTTACTGCTGCATCTGTGCTAAGAAAACCAAATATAATAAAATCTGAGGCACGACACTGCTGCAGGTTCGGGCAGTGAGACATGAGGCCTTTCTCAGCTCCGTGCTTCTGTGGCCCCCCAGCTTAACTGCTCGTACTAACAAGCCATGAGCCTGCTACACGTGCCCAACTTTTTCTGGAGTCTCTCTTTGGGCCCAGTATTCCAAAAATTTCTTGTCTGTCCCTACAACATTCTCCTTTTCTTCCTAGTGGCTAAACATCACATCTGTGCATGTGTATAATGTTTGAAAAATATGCTTCTTTAAAAAAGATATTAATAGAAAATTGCTGCATCTATCCTACAACTATAGGTGTCACAAAAGGCTGAAGCCCAAATAGGGTTCAACGGTCATCAGACATTTCAGCTATAATCATCAACACTTTGTCCAAGGGAAAAAACAGGAACCTTTGAAGAATTCTTTTGTAATATAAATGGAGTGGAAAGAAATCAGAGAGGGAGACAAACCGTAAGAGGCTCTTAACTCTAGGAAACAAAACTGAGGGTTGCTGGAGGGGAGGTGGGTGAGGGGATGGGGTAACTGGGTGATAGGCATTAAGGAGGGCACGTGATGTGATGAAGCACTGGGTGTTGTATGCAACTGATGAATTATTAACTCTACATCTGAAACTAATGATGTACTATATGTTGGCTGACTGAATTTAAATAAAAAAAAACTGTTAAAGACTGTATACAAACCAAAAAAAAAAAAGGAAAAAATTTAGTGGCCTCTTGTTCATTTTATTTTTGTTTTCTACATCCCCAATACTGATGTTTTGATTTCTGAAGTACACAAAACCATGCCGTTTCCAACTGTCCATATTTTAGGCTGGTTTGAGCAAAAATAAAACAGTTGAGCTCTTGGAGGTCAGTGCTCGCATTCTTAAATTTGTGCCTGATTAACCACAGTACCTAATCTGTGCTAAAGTTACATAATCTCTAGATGCTTGACACATATGTCATGCTGAATATAAAATTCAAGAATGAGTACACGGTGCAATCTGCACTTCTGTGTGCGTGTGCTCCTGTGGGGGTGGAGGTGGGGGGTGGCAGAGGATGTGAAGTGAGAAGATAAATACAACTCAAAGGAGTTCACTTAGGAAGCAGGTGGGATCCTACTGACCTAAGTTAACATCACATGTGTTAGGTCTCCTACAGTCACATGGTGTGAACAGATTCCCAGGCAGACCAAGTACAAATACAGGAGAATCACACGAATGATTTTCTCAAAAGAAAACCAAATTCCATTTTGCTTAGATTCATGCTAATTTTCTTTAGTCACTGAGTGTGTGTATGTGTGGGGTGGTACAAAGAGGGCCACACAAATTGGTAACATTTTAAATCAGCTCCCTCATCTGTAAAACTGAGCTGACAGCAGCAGGGACAAGTGCAGAGCAGGGATGTCTGTAACACAGTTTAGTGCCTGGTACATCAGTAGCCCGTTAGCTGCTGCTACCACGACACACTGAGACAGGAAGACCGTCTACTTCGGGGAGCTTTCAGGCCCAGTGCTGGTCAAGCCAGCATTTAGCGCACTGCTGCCAGTTTGGAAATGGGGTTGAGGGGGTGCTAAGATCAAACTATTAAAGCAATCACTAACCTGAAGGCTGATCTTTCACAACACCATTCTTGCTTCTTTCTTCCCAATCCAGCACTTCTTTATAAATCAGTTCTTCAAATGGAAATGCAAGTTAAAAGGCTTCATCAGTTTCTTTGTGTCTCTGAACCCTGCTTTCTAATCAATCAGAACCACTCCAAGGGCACTGTGATGCCTTATTTTTAATTATGGTATACGGTTAATTCAATAATATCATCTGGTTAACTCAATAGTATCACCTACGAAAACCAAAACACCCACATCCATTACGCCTTTAACTCAACTGTTAGGGCAGCCAAAAACGTAGGCAGTTCTGAACCCACAGGGGGTTTTATAAGGGGCTGGAGACCAGCAAAATGGCTCTCACAGAGCATTTCAGAGTACTGGATGCTTTCACACTGTTTGCACATGTTTCTCTCCATTGTTACTTGGGATTCTCCAAAAGGAACTGATATCTATCTATGGGTGAGAAGCCCCTCCAGACTGGCCAGAAATTAATCCAAGTTCCACAGTCATTTCTTGGCTTCAACCTCCATTTCCTTGATTCTGATTTGTGAGAAAAGCTAACAACATACTAAGGAAGCATTAGGGGTTCTTAAAATTTTGGCCTTTGTGAATCAAGATGAGAACACTGCAAGCTTTCTGCAGGCCTATGAGCCAACCGTTGGCCATAGGCTGTGGCTGCGTGTGTCGGCCTGCTGAGCATGTGTTCATGCAGGTCATGGCACTCTGGACGCCCCGGAGCAAGGAGACATGATCTGCTTGGGCAGGGCACATTGCCACCTTTGACCTGCACTGACCATGGTTCTCAACTACTACTGATTCTGCTTCTTAATGGAAAATTGTTATTTGACCTCCTGATTATGGGTTTAGTTTATTGTGGGTTGTTTGGTTTACCTTACAGTCTTCAGAAGCAAACAATATGCAATCCATACCTGCTCTTCACTAATTGTTATCTGCAAGTTTCTTCTGTGCTAGGGATTGTGAAGAGATGGGGTGAGAGGGGCTGCATGGTCCCTAGCCGCTACCCTAGGAAGGCTACTGCTGAGAGTAAAGTGCCACAAGCGAGCGGCAAAATCAGCTCTGTTCTTTACCTTTCCACTCTTCAATTGCATGCTCTCTTTCTTCCAACTGGGCGTCGTAAATCTGAGGTGGTGGCTGAAAATTAAATTACACATGAAGTCAACAGTTAAAACCATAACGAAGCATGAAGACAGTAAAATCACCAGGGGGAGTCTAATCTATGTATCATTTCATATGTAGCTTTTTAAAGATTTCTTTATAAGTGTGATATTACATCATTTTCAGAATCAAAATAATTAGAGAGAAATTAGCCCCCCCCAAATGGAGCTATTATGGTCCTCTTAATTATAACATGACCTCAAGACACCCTAAAGGCATCTGTCCAAATGTAACTATAAAATCAGTAATTTGAGCCACTTCCTAGAGACCTGTCCTGGATAAGGACATGCCAGCTCAGGTTTACAGTTCATGTTAGAGCCCCTGTACCCAATCCGCAGCTCACATTGGGCCATCCCAAAAATTTCCTTAAAAATCACATGCTTATAAATGGGACTTTCATATGAAACATTATGTTTCTGTGGTGGTTAAATCTACAGGCCAGCCCTAAAATGAGCCCACCCCTATGCCAATTATCTCGCTTACAGCCAGAGATCACCCATGCTGGTGCTGCTAAGGGAAAATGCGCCTGAACACTGAGCTCGGAAGTGGAACTCGCCCAGCAGGTACCTCTGGGGAAGGATAAATAAACTTGTGCTTTTCAGCAAGTTTCTTAAGCCTCTCTGAGGGGGTGGCTTAACCAAGGTGTTATAGGCAAAGCACATGGCGCCTTGCGAGGTACATGATGGAGGCTTAGTAAACCGTGTTATTACACTCATATAACAGCATCTGCGTAAAGGAAGACAATGCTATCACCACAGCAGAAGCATGTCCACCCCTAAAGTACACTGAGCGACAGCCCCAGGAGCAAAGGTCCCAGAAGCGGGCCAGGTCTTGGACAACCCCTGGCCTCTTTGTATTCGGGAGTCCTCTGAAATCTAGAACTTGCTATCCTTACTGAGGCCATTCCAGAATGACAGAAGATCCAAGGAAGTGGACTCCCTGCCTTTACACACAAGTCTTTCCGAAACAGATACTTACCGCTTCAGCTTCAGCAGGGTCATACCAAACAGTAATGTAAGGGTGACGTAAAGCTTCATCTACAGAGATCCGCTTGTCAGGATCTATCACTAACATTTTTGACAACAAATCTCTGGCTTGACTTGCTAGGATAAAAACAAATATCAGATTAATTAATAAATTAATGCTGAAACATAGAAAATCACAGAGAAAATGTGACAGTACAGATAGAACAAAGATGTATTAAAACTTGACATTTTTGATAGGTTCTGGATCAGTTGAGGCTTTTTCTTTAAGAATAAGCCAAGGAGGGGGATCCCTGGGTGGCGCAGCGGTTTGGCACCTGCCTTTGGCCCAGGGCGCGATCCTGGAGACCCGGGATCGAATCCCACATCGGGCTCCTGGTGCATGGAGCCTGCTTCTCCCTCTACCTGTGTCTCTGCCTCTCTCTCTCTCTCTGTGACTATCATAAATTAAAAAAAAAAAAAAAAAAAGAATAAGCCAAGGAGGCACTTTCACTACAAATCTGGTCTTCCAACTCAGGTTTCTTGCCTCTGGAACTGGGAGGGGAGGAGTGGCAGGGCCTGGGAAAGGGGTACCAGGTGGACACAGGCCAGCCAGAGGCTGACATGGTGCCCGGGGAATGCTGCCACCAGAGCAGGCAGGGGAGCTGAGATAAGGATGGCGCTGCCTGGAGTGCAGGCACAGAGCATGAGCAAGGCTTTTCTCTTGATGGCCCATCAAAACAAAATTAGAACAGGCTTTTTAAGCCATAAAACAATCTCACATTTGCACACCATAGAATACTTTACAGATGCCTCTGCTATGACCACAGCTATATATAATGTTGGAAACAGACACTTAAAAAAAAAATCTAGAGGTTAGTTGCTAGAAAAAAACCAACAAGCTCAGTTACTTAGTCAAATATAAGGCTCACATAGGTTTAGGCAATTAAAGTTCACATGGGTAGGCAAAGGAGAGACGGAGCTTTTCTGACCGAGGCACAGTTTACCCTGATGTGGATAGAAATTTATTCTTTTAAATCATGTTTTTGGTGATGGGCACAGGAGAAATGGAGGATAAGCTTTTTTTTTTTTTTTTAAAGATTTTATTTATTTATTCATGAAAGACACAGAGAAAGAGGCAGAGAAGTAGGTAGAGGGAGAAGCAGGCTCCCTGTGGGGAGGCCAATGTGGGACTTGACCCCAGGATCACGACCTGACCAAAGGCAGATGGTCAACCACTGAGCCACTGAGGCACCCACTTTTTTTTTTTTTAATCAATTATGGGCTAGAATCTTAATTCAAGTGTTCCATGGACCCGAAAACTGTGTGAATTCCAATTGCTATAATTAACATGAGTTTTTCAGACTGACGTGAACCTTTTTGTTTTGACCAAAGGCTTCCATGAGGCATTCTGTTGAGGACAGAACTTTTAGGTCTAGAAGCCTTCAGGCTCACCTGTACCTCACTCAATTTGAGGGCTTCCACTATTTTATCTCCCCACGTCCAGGGGTGTCAGGCTGCAGAAACAGGTATGAGGGAAAATGAAGGGCATCTTACTTTTAATTTTGTCTCGTTCGGATTCTGATGGGAATATCCAATCTGGGAAGAGCTCTTCAAATTTGATTCCAGGGTATTTCGGTCTGTTTTCTACATAATTCCTCACGGTTGGCTGGAGTTTCTTCATAAAATCCGCAGACGGCGTTCCCAGCTGCTCAATGACTTTATTCCACTGATCAATATCTAAGAAGTCTCTTGAGGAAAATATAACTGAAGGACCTTACGGTTGCATTACACAGAGTAGCATCATTCAAAAAAAATGCTAAAATCCTCTTTCTACCTACCAACAGGTGATTAACGAGGCTACCCCACTGGGGCAGCACAGATATTCTGAAATAATATTGAAATACAGTGTGAGTTTCTGAGACTACTTTTAAAACCTTTGCACCTTTCTAAACTCTGATCACAGTTTATTAGACCAACACCTCGAGGGATGTATGCCATGCCCTTCTAGATCAACATAGTTATTCTTATTACTAAAGACTACCTGTGACAGAAGTGATTAAAGGTGAAATTAGGTAAAGATGACTTAGGCAAACCAAAATCAATTTTCACAGCAAGGTGTCTTAAATTTGAAAGCTCCCTGAAGTAGACAGAGTAGAGTCCTGAGTTCACACCTGGAGAAGCAAAGGCCCAGTGCGGTGCAGTGCATGAGCTAGGGCTTGGGGCTCTTGGAGCCCAAGCCTTGTCCTCTCCAACAGGGCCATGGGCCACCCTGGAGCTGCACTTAGATGGACAACATTGCAGGTCATTCTCTTACTTGGCACTGACTCTGACTGTCATTGCAGGACCCAGAGCGCATCTGACTTCCTTTCAAAATATATGCCCTGGGTTTCAGACTCCACCACACTTGCCGCACAGCAGGTGCCAGGCCCCCAGTCTTCCCTGGCTCTTCATCTGAATTGTTCATAAAATATGAGAATACGAGCGTGGCCTATTTTCCAGAGGTGGGGCTTGGAATAATAACTGGCATCATGAACTGGAAAGGAATTCTGAGACTGTAAACAATTATACAAGAGGATGTAGGAAAAAGAAATCATGGAAATAGCAATGTTTAAAAAGCAGTTTTCAAAAGTTAAAAAAGAAAATCTGATTGAGGTCTGTCTCAGAAAAACAGTCACATCACTGTGAAGGAACACAGGGCGAGAACAGGCTCTCAAGATGGGTTCTGGCCTCTGGAGTAACGCATGTTCTCCTGCCTCACTGAACAGGCTCACGAGATGGGTCCTGGCCTCTGGAGTAACTAGCATGTTCTCCTGTCTCACTCCCTCATTTCCTGTGTGCAGCTGTAGCAGACTCCTGCAGCCCTCTAGCCCTTCTCGCCACCCTCCCTTCCCTGGGGTTATCCAAAACAGTCCCTCATCTCCTGCTTCTATTCTTGCTGGGACAGTCGACCTGACTTCCATGCAGCAGTTGCCATGACCTCTTCCAAACTGAGTCAGATGGGAGCCTAGAAGTGGGTGGGCGCTCAATGTCTAGTGTGTTCATGATAAAGGGTCATTTCTGTAGACTGACTCAGGGCAGGTGGGAAAGGAAAAGTCAAACCCAACAAGGCTGGCTGGTCTTCCGGCTGTGTGCATGCATTATTGTCCCTTGGTGGCTATGGCCCTCTGGTTATACTGAGCGGGAGCAAGGCTTGGGGAGGCCCGGACTCACGAAGGTTGCATGGCGCCCCATGTGCTGGAGGAGGGCTGGCTGCAGCTCCCTGTCTCTGCTGGGCTACTGTGGCCACAGGAGGTCCCCCTCTATCCCAGGTCATACATCTGAAGCAAATCTCAGAGAACTGCAATCTTGGTGCCAGAATCTTTTTCCATCCTAGCAGTTTTTAATCTACTGTTTGAAAGAGTGGGCAAAATTGCCTTTGCAAAATGATGTTAATCTCTGTGTGTATTTTGAGAATGACATTAGATGGCCTTATATATAAAACTATCAATTACCAATACTGCAAGATGCTAATATGTAAGGTAGGATTTTAAATTGCTTAAAAATCCACCAAAAAGTATTCAGTTTTTGTACTTTCTGAAGAAAACATTTCTTAATTAATTCAAAAAAAAAAGACACAAAATGACTACGAATTGAGACTGAACATTAGGTAGATATTTCTAAATTATTTCTCTTTAGAATATATCAACTTCTTCCTTTTAAGCTGAGTCTGTTTCCAAAGAAAGACCTCCTTATTTACAGTTTAGAACAAGCGAATCAAAGCAAAGATTATGGAAAACTGCTAGGAAATTTATTAGAACACAATAAAATGCTGTATTCAACTTCACATAAAATTTGTGATATGAAAAACATCAAGGAAGGCAAATAAAATGATAGGAACAAAATCTTTTCATTCCATGTTTGTGTTGTAAAGAATTTATACTACAAGAAAATCACCCTCATAAAATTATAAAAAACTAAAATAATTTCAATAAAATACATATAAAACACTGACTACACAGCTTGAGTTCCTTTAAAAATAACCATCAATCTGCAACAGAGACCACTTTAGGCTTTGATAATGAAAAAACAAAATCAAAGACTAATGAAAATCGTAAGTGGTTAGAACACAAATGAAAAAGGGAATATGTCAGAGTAAAAAATGTTAAAGATGGAAGAATATGAGGACCACGAGGAAAGAAGGCTCTTATAACTGTTCTATTGTCTCTTTTGCTTTATGCTCTATGTCATTGATGTGATTTGCTGACCACAGTATAAGTTAATCTTCTGCATCATGTTTGTTTAGACTTCCCCAAGTGTGTCACAAAATAACCTAGATGGACCTTTTAAAAATTTATATAAAATGTCAACAGGCAAGAAAATTAACATATACTGTTCCTCACAAACTTTTCCTTTTGGTCTCTTTTGCCTCAGTCTTATGTAGCACGCTTCAGTTCTTACTTTGGGGGAAGATATTTCAATCCATACTGATAATTAACAAAATGGTATAGTAAGTAAATGACACAATACTGGTCTATTAAATTTAGACAGCAACTTCCCTTGTTAAATTAACTGAGTGAACTAAATAAGCAGTATTTTCATTCAAATATCAGAATACATTTGTCAAAGAGTAAATAAATTTCTAAGCTGTTTTTAATAAAATTAAGAATATCATCAGTTTAACTTAATTCTAAGCCTTAATAAAGTCATTACAGGTAGTCAAGTGAAAAAGAAAACAGAAACCTGAACCATTTGGTTTGTGACACTAATTTAACAAACATAATAAAGACCCCCTTAGGACACAGTCTAGAATTACAACATTTTCCATTTGAGCTCCTGCTGCCTTTCGCATTTATGGAAAGCATGGCCGGGAGCGTCCCGGGAAGGATACGATCAGTGCCTTGGAATATCACACAACCTTTCACCAGCTCTCCCATGATGCAACCCACTGACCAGATATCAACTGAAAATAAAATGAAATGACAAAATTATGAAGTGCCATGAACAAAACAAAGGTGAGGAAAAGGAATTCTAACAGTGTACTAAACACACAAAAATGGAAAAAAATTTCTAGCTAAAGGTGAACTTTTTACACAGTGTGAATGATTGCTGGCTGCTACTTTGGCCTTCAGCTTGCAGCAATCTGGGCTTTAGTGCCAAAGATTCCAGTACTTTATGGCTGAAAAGACAAACAAAACCCCAGAAAAAAGAGGTGCCTGTCCCCACAAAGCTATCTGTAGGCCACATGCCCTCCCCCCATGCCCACCCCCGTGGCCACTGCGGGGGCTCTCCCTGTGAAGGATACAGTCTCTTCCTGGAAACAGGACTTTATGGAGGACCATTTCTGCCATGATGCACCCGACAGACCAGATGTCCACTACCAAACACCAGGTGATTAAAACCAGCCAGAGACCCCCATGCATCTTTCTCAAACCCCCTCCCAACAAAGACAAACCCAGCTTGTCAATGGGAGCTTTTGTAAAATATGGACACAATGCTTCCTAAGTAATCCTCTGCTAAACTGCCATGTTGGCAGGTCCTCACAGGGGTGGGCTTGCTCATCTAGGCTTCCTTGGGGACCATAAGAACCCCAGGCCTCAGATGGTCGGCCAGAGGGCTATTTAGTACCTCTCCTTGGCACTGGTGGGAGGAGCCAACAGGACCAACACGTAGCCACAGAACCGTGTCTGTCAGGGTGGGAGCACCGGTTACAAAGCACGTATATCTTAAAGCATGGCTCAGTCCAGATGACCTGTGCAAACTTTCAGACTCAGCAAATAACTGGGATTGAGCTCCTTTTGACAAATTTGTCAAGAGCTCAGTTACAAAGGGCTCTGGTATCAGTAGGGTAAATTTTAATGTTAAAGAGCCAGTCTTACACAAAAGAGAACATGTATTATTCCATTTGTACCAAGTTCAAAAATAAATAAAACCAAGTTCTGGCCCCACAAACCAGGATAATGGCTCCCTTTAGGGTTTGAGACCTGGAGAAGGTCTGGGGAGGTTCCGGGTACTGCTGGTGGTATGGGTCCACACACTTCTCTATACTAAATACGTTATACTTTGAGAAAATATTCATTTTGAAAGTATATTTGTAGATGTGGGTGACTTCTGCCAGTGGAAACAGGAGATGAATGACTTCGAGTCTGTGGGCCATGACAACCTGCGTATAACGCAGCCCCCACGTGGTGTTTCCTCTGGCTCAGGGGACCTGGCTAGTGGTGAGCTGCAGCCGCACAGGAGCGCCACGGCCTCTGCCGGTGCTGCCCACACTCACCATTCTCTTTGTAGCCCATGCCCAGGATGACTTCGGGTGCCCGGTAATAGCGCGTCACCACGTACGGTGTCATCATGAAGTTGGTGCATGCTGTCCGGGCCAGGCCAAAGTCAAGGATCTTAAGCGTGCAGTCTGATTTTACTACGATGTTGCTAGGTTTCAAATCCTAGGGCAGAAATGGTTTAAATGAGTGCAACAAACCAGAGCATGCTAAAGAGACAAGCTTGTGTTGGTGGGGATTTGTGAGGCCGGGGTCTATGGAGGTACCTGAGTCCTGGGACACCGAGGAGGGTTAGCAATGAACCCTGTGATTTGGGAAAAGCCTACTCTCTCAAATTAAAATGAATACAAATCAGCCTGCAGAAGTCAGATGGCTGCCCTCATCCTTGTGTGAGAAACTTCATGACATCTCTTTCCTTAAAATTTCCTCGGAGCTGCCACAGAACCCACTTATCCCTCCTCCCACCTGTTCATCCTTCAGTTCCCAGCTGTCCCACAGAAATCTAATGTAAGCCACACACATAATTTACATACATTTGCTTGTAGCCATCTTAAGAAGAATGAATATAAACAAGTAGATTTTAATAGTATATCTTATTTAACCCAACATATCCATAACGTTATTTTAAAACATTAAGCAATGTATAGAAATTATTAATGAGATATTTCACATTCTTTGTTTTGGTACTGTCTATGAAATCCACTGTATATTTACAATTAGAGCCACATTCTGAGTCTCAACAGCCCTATGTAGTTTGTGGCTGCCATACTACATGGCATGGGGCTACAATTCTCTGACTCTGCAATCTTTGAACAGCTCCTTCTTCTCCCAGAAAAAAGAATCCCATGATCAGCAAGCCCACCCCACTGCACACACCACCTGTGAGGCAGCCCCATCTTCCCCTGCCAGTACCAGGTCTGTGACAGGAGACTCTGGCTGTACTTTCAGTAATCAGAGCCCAGCCGCATACAGCAGACGCTCAGGAAATACTTGCTGTGTGAACACACACATCACACTCCCCTCTACCCCACACCCTGAACATATGAACAAATTTCCAGAGTCTCTTCCCACAGGAAGTCCTGTGCCTTCCTTCATGGTGAAGCCCTCTCTGTCCCCAGACCCTTCCTCAGGCCACAGGGATCTGACTTCTGCCTGGGACAGCAGCCTGCAAACTCACCCCAGAAACTGCCTTCTAAGCTATGCTCATCTATTCTCTTCACAAGTCATGCCACACAGGAGGACCTGGGAGGACTCCATGTGAGGTGTCAAGCCTCTAACACTTTCCTGCACATTTGGGTACAGACAGGTGTGCAAGAGAGTTAAAAATTACATCAGCTAAAATTATGTTTCATGACTATTAAATGTTCTAAACTTCCTGGATTCAGTATAAATATGTTTGAAAAATGCAATGAAAATTCCCCACCAATTCCCAAGCAGATGCTCTGGCCTCGTTGGCCCCAGAGCACTGCGTGAACACTACCTTCTCATATGTGTGTCCTGATGTAGGGGAGACCCAGGGGGTACCCCCATCCTGTACCTGCAACTGCTAGTCGGCCCCTCACACACACCAGCAAACCTTTCCCCTGAGGAGGCAACCATGCAGCTAAGGCAAAGAACCAATTTGCTTCTAGTTTCTTTTTTTAAAACCAAGCCTGTGGCAAGAATAGGAATTTTAGAATACAGCTTGCCAAAAGGCGAAATAATGCTCAACTTCGTGAAAAAAAAAATGTTTTTTAAATGTCCAAATGACAAGGAACTATAGTCTCCCGTGTGGCAATGAGCAAAAGAATGACAACCACCAGGGCTGGTAAGAGAAGCTAACATAGAGCCTTACACTGTTGGCTGGGATGTCAACAGGTGCTTTCTTTTTAGGAAGCGGATTTTTTAAAAATTTGAAATGTCTCTACTTTGCCACCTAGCAGCCCCTGAAATCCAGCCCAGCCTTGATATAAAGTGCAACCACAGTGATAAGGGTCAGTGGAACAGCTCGCCGCCCACCCACTCAATGAACCGCAGAGTGAGTTAGAAAACATGCCCAGCAAACGTGCCCGTCTCCAGCCACTTCTACCCTTGGAAGATTCTCCTTTTGCACAGATTTGGGTGAACAACACACTTTCCTGCCATTTGCTGGAAAACTATGGTAACAAAATGCAAATCAAGCTGCTTGAGGATGTGGCCAGCAGTCCTGGCAGGCTTGGGAGAGGCAGCTGGCAACCGGATGCCTGTGAAAGGCATCTGGTTGCCTCCCCCACTTCCACAGCGCTCTCATCAGCCTCCACATACAGCCAGCAGCAGTTTTCCTGAACAAAGTGGACTTAGAGCTTCAAGGTGGCAAAGACAGTTTTGCCCCTTCAAATCTTGAAAACCACTCCAAACAAGGAAAACAAGAAACACGTGTTAACATACAAAGGACATTTGAACTTGGGGCTTGACCACAGGGTGTGGGGATGGTTAAGAGAGCAGTGTCCCTGGGACAGACAACCAGACTGCATAAAACATCTGTAACCAAAGCAGGGGAAGAGCAGAGGAACAGGGGCCTGAAGGCATCTCCCTATGGAGTACCACCCCAGTCAGTTCTCAGATCACAACCCACTGACCAAAGCAGTGTCCTAGGAAGGAGGACCCTGCACATGGGGAAAAGTGTCTGCTGCTTTGACTTCCCCAGTTCTTCCCCCACAGTGGCTTCACGCTGTACCTGAGGCCTTACTGATCTGTTCTAACAACTCTACTGTGGCCACCACTGCAGCTGCAGCCAGGACTGCGAGCTGGTTATGCCTTGGCAGTCCACATTCTCTAGGATCATCTAGTTTCCTCCAGGGCCGGACTAGGGAGTCAAACTGAGATATGACATGGACTGCTGTCCTTGCATTCCTGGAATTTCAATGGTGGCACTAATCTCTATCCCTCCTGCTCCCTGAGATCAATAATACTTTTGATTTATCTTGTGAGGAACTTCATGTTTCCACTTGGCCTTCCCCATCTCTATGGCTGAGAGCATAGAGAAAGAGCACCTGCTAGGGCCCAGAAAACAACTGCAGTGACAGGAGCTAAAGTGTCCTCCTGTGGCTGCCCTCTTCTCAATTTCCCCTCAGGAAGAGAGGTCCATGGGGAGAAACGGGGAGCTTCTCCTGACCTGTGTGGCTCTTGGCCAGTGACTGTGTGGGGCAGAAGCCCATTCCTGTGAGACAGCAGACTCCCCTGACAGGTGGCCCATGGATCCTGGGGTAGGCAAAGCTGTCTGACAGCTGTACCACAGTTGTGGCTCTTCCAAGGGGTCAGACCTGAGCTGTCTTCTGTCTGCCTCTTCACCCCCTCCAGCCCACTCCCTGGTTCCTCCTCACAGGCTTTCTTCCAGAACATGTCTTGTGTGTCTAATCCTATCCTGGCATGCCAATGTTGTGCATGAAAGTCCCCACATGCTCTATAGGGACAAAAAGCAGCAGAGAGGCAGGAAATAAGCTGGCTGAGTGCACTGTGGGTATATAACATACTGCTCGCTCCTTGAAAAACAAAACAACAAAGGCCAAAATGCAAACTAAAAGTCTTATTAATAAAAAACTTTTATTAATAAAAGTTTTATTAATAAAACACCCAATAAAAGGTGTTGTTAACTCCACAGACAAAAAGCTGAAAGGAAAAGAAATCCAATCACAGTATAAACAGAGGAGTGTGCATCAGAGAGCGGTTAGGTATCATGGTCCAAATCCGATGATGCTGTAAATACCTGGGAGGTCAGGGAACAGGAAAGGTGGCAGAGTAGGGAGGTCTGTGTTGATGAAAGGGAGCTAAATTGGTACTTTATGCCCGAAACTGAAAAAAAAGGCTAATGAATAAAGATATAATATTATTTCAAGGTACGGGGATAAACACCAAAATAACAGCTGAAAGAAATGAGTTTGCTTCTGGGGAGTGAGAAATTCGGAGGACATGGGGACTTTGTTTTTTTTAATATATATTTGTAGAACTATTTGATCCTTGATTAAAATAAGGAACATACCAACCAAGTTGTTTAGTGAGTTTCAGAACAATTACATACAAGAGGATCTTGTTTTAAAAGGATAAATTGGAAAGGACATAAGTATACACAGATATGTTGGTATTAGCATAGGTAAGAAGAGAGCATCACTGTCAAGTTTGGGAGGAAACACAACCAATTGCTGTCACTGGCCACCTCCAGGCAACAGTGGAGAGCTGGGGGACTTTCCTGTCTTTTGGTTTTTGAATTGTAAAGATAAAAAGTCGTGGAACTATTGGTGTTTTATTTTTCAAATAATTAAATTTTGCTTTTAATACAGAAGCATTTTAATAAGCAAAACTGAAAGTGCACACCTTGAGTATGGTGTTGTATAGAGGAAAAAGGACTAGAATGGCTCATGGACAACCATTAACTCATTAAAAGGCTCTTGCAACTCATCACCTCTCTTGTCCTGGCTGGGTGGGTGGGCTGGGCCAACTCGGGCCTCTCACTATTTGTTCTATCTCCCTTTCCCGTAAGGAGCATGTGGTACTTTCATGAGCAAACACAAAGCTTGGTAGACCTATGAATGTGTGCGCAGGTACAAGGTGAGAAGGGGCAGTGGCAAGGCCCGGTGGGGTGGTGGACAGGATGGAGAAGTGGTCCATGGGATCATTTGCTCGGGTATTCTCAGGTTTCTAAACACTGTGCTGGGCAAAGCAGACACCTCTTTGGACTCCCTTTGACATTGTGGTTAGCGGGAGTGGGACCAAACTCCAGAGACTGAATATTCCCTAACATGGGCATGTGTCCTGCAGCCCTGAATAGGTCCCCAGGAACGGGAGGATATTGTTTCCCCACACATCTCTGGGCCTGAGAAGAAAGACACAAGTCAGGCAAACTGTGTTCATTTACAAAACCGATAAGGCTTAATATAATAAAGCCTAATAATAATAAGTCTGGAAACTTATTCTAAAGTGTGAATTTAAAGCAAAATGTGTTTAAGAGCTGCTAAGAGTGTCTTAATTTATGTAATGGCCTGTAAAATTTTAGGCAGAGAAACAGAATGGTGTATTGGGAAATCTTTGTTTTTAATTTTAAAAAATGGGTACTATTATGCTAGGTGAAAGAAGTGAGAGAAAGACAAATGCTGTGTGATTTCACTCATGTGTGGAATTTAAGAAACAAGTAAGCAAACAGAAAAAAAGAGCGAGACAAACCAAAAGACAACCAGAGGGGAGAAAAGAAGGTGGATGGGGGAAACAGGCGATGGGAGTAAGGAGGGCACGCATGATGAGCATCTGGTGATGTAAGGAGTACTGAATCACTGTTATGTGCCTGAAACTAATATTACACTGTATGTTAACCAACTGGAATTTAAATAAAAACTAAAGAAAAAAATGAATAGTACTATTTTTTTTTTTTGAATAGTACTATTTTAAAAGCAAATTTGTCAACAGAATTTATATTATTTTAACTGAACACCTGGTGGCAGCAAAGGCTGTATTTTTCAGAAATAGCAGTGTCAGGAGCTAGGTGCTTTACAAGCGTGTTAGGCCCCAGACAGGCCCTGGGAGGAGGACCAGGTATGATGCCCAGGCTTACTGGCTTTGAAGTCACAGACCTGAGGCTCATGGTGTGAGGCAAGGGCAGCTTGGTTCTCTCCGGACTGGCAAGCTGTGCCACTGTGGCCAACATTTTCCTGGCACCTAACAAATCTACTGCATCATTGAAAATCTCTCTATTCTTTTCTATATGAATAGGCTTCATTGTTCTGGTCTCACTATCTTTCTCCCCACACAGATTTTGGTTCAGAGAAGTGACAACTTCTTGATGTTGGAATAAAATATCTAAAGATAGTCCGTCGACAAAATTAGTATGGTAATAACTTAGGGAACGCCAAGAATGTTTCCAACAAAATTCTATTATCTCTGCAGGGAGTCTCACTCAACATTCTAGTACTTAAAGAAGATTCTATCAAGATGTTCTGCTTACACAGGGATAGAATCAAAAAAGAAACAAAAACTAATAAAATCAGCTTAGAGAGTTACACTGTATCCCGCTGGTTTTTCATGGTTACTTCCTGACCTTAATGGCAACTCTGTCATCAAATCCCAGATTAGCCCAGTGAAGACGCCCACCCAGGGCCATTCTAAAAGTTCCCATCAGTGGGGCCAGAACGCTGGAGTGGCAAAGTTTTACAATATGAGACATGGATATTTGACCCATAATTTATGTATGATTTCTCAAGCAACGGTATCATTTACTACTTAGCCTCTAACTTTTCCCCATCCCGAACCTAAATTCCTGCCTCATTAAAAATGGGATTTCAAATATGGCAAATGTATTAACAATAGATGATTCTGGCTTAATAATACTTGGGAGTTCTCTGTTCCATTCTTATAACTTTAAAATTTTACAATACTTCAAAATTAAAGATTAAAAAAATAAGCTTTCTTCCACAGCATCAAACAGAGCAGCTCAAGCCTGCATCCAGAGTGGCTCCTGCGAATGAAGTGCTCCACAAATGTCTTCTAATCTCAATGGTATTTGGGGACTTTAACACGATTCCATAGGTTTTTGGATGCTTGACACTGATGACTTTTAAAAAAAATAGTTCTTTTGTACCTAGAGAATCATGATAACAAAATGATTGTGATTTTAAAAATAAAACTGACATGGTGTCAGTACTTACTCTATGAATTATACCAGCTGAATGCAGATGTTTAATACCACAGAGCATCTGGTAAAGAAGGTAGGACATTCTTTCATGGTCTAATTCCATGTGAATAACCTGACATAAGTTAGCATCCATTAGCTCCATAACCAAATACCTGGGAAAGAAAAAAAGATCAGCCATGTACATATAAAAATCACCCTAAATTCCTTTATGGTTACTGAACTATATTTCTATGAAACAGTAATAATTTACTACCTAGTTATTACACTGGCTAAAGTTAAAAAAAAAAAGATAACTTATTTTCTCTAAATATTTATAAGGTGTCTTGTAAAAAAGTTAAACATGTAATGGAACTGAGAAGTTTTCAAAAAAAATGATACATTTCAAATTAAAACAATTTTTATGTAATAGTTAACAGAATCTCAAACATTCAAAATCTCACATATCTTTATTTATTTGCTATTGGATCATACTCACTAGTATAGAAATCATGCTGCTACTTTTCTTACGTTAAGAAAACTTTTGACCGTCTTTCCCCACCAGCTATGCCCCATATTCTCCCTCTCTTTGTAAGCAAAACTCCCCAAAGAGGTATCGATACTTGGCATCACCAATTCTTCTCCCATTTTTTTCTCCATCTTACTCTGATGGGCCTTGTGCCCCACACACTGCTGAACCTGTCCTCGCCTAGGTCCCTGGGCACTTCCTTGTATGTTGCTAAACCCAACGGCCTGTCCTACAGTCTTGCTGACTGTGCCCTGCTCCTCTCCCCAACACCTTACTGTTGGGGGGTGATGATGCTTGGTCCTTGGCCTCCTTCTCTTCTCTGACTATCCCAGTCTTACTGATCTCTGGTCTCAATACCTTAAACACCATCCACAAACTGTCAGCTCTCAAGTTCATATCTTGCACCCAGACCTCTCTCCTGAACCCCAGGCTCATGTATCCACCTGCCCACATCCTAGGCCTACTTGGGTATCCAAGAGGCACTGTGAGGCCCATGTCTAAAACTGAGCCCTTGATTCCACCTCACTTTCCAGTCTGTGCTGCCTTAGCCCTCCTCGGCTCAGGTGGGAGCACCGTCAGGCTGCAAGGAGCTCAGGCAAGCACCAGGTGTCATCCTTAGCCTCTCCCTCCTCATACTGCAGTCCTCCACCATAGCTCCCCCTTCAGGACATTTCAGCCTCCAGTCTCTCCCCTTTACCTATTACCCTCTGGTCTAAATGCAACCACCATAACCTTTCCCCTATGTTGCTGCAACAGCCTCCTAACTGGGCTTCTGTGTCACCACCCTTTGTGGTGAGTTCCCAACACAGAAACTAAAGCTATTCTTTGAACATGTAAGTCAGGGAAGCTCACTCTGCCTTGCCTTGGAGTAAAAGGAAGTCTTTCCAATGGCTTAGAGGCCCAGCAGTGTGTGGCCCCATCACTTCCCTGAGCCCACCCTCTTCTCTCCTCTGGTCCCCTTGCTCCAGCCACACTGGCTACTCGCAGCTCTTAAAGCACACCAGGTATGGCTCCACTTCCACTCCTTTGTACTACCTGTTCCTTTTATTTGAACCTACCTTCCCTCAAATATCTATAGGACTAACCCCTCACTTCCTTCAAGGCTTTCTTCAGATGTCACCAATACAGTGAGGTCTTTCTCCAACCACCCTGCTTACAATCTCAACCTGACTTCCAACTCCCAGCACTTCTGATTCCCTAAACCCAGTTCTGCTTCTTCCAGAGTATGTGCTAAGTCCTTATGAGCATCATTTCCTGACTTTTGTTGGTTATTTTTCTTCTCTCAGAGCTCTAAAAGTGAGTATGACTACATGCAATTTTTAATAATAAAAGGGATTTTTGCCTGTTTTGTTCCCTCAAGTAAGTCCAAGAGAGTGCCTAGCACGAGTGGCAATCAAATATTTGTTGAATGAACACACCAGTAAGTTTAGCATTAGTTGTGCATTATACCTCAATACGATAAATTAATATTTTATTGCTAGTAAGATAATTCTGTTTCAGATTTTGGAAACACATAACATTTAATGATGTAATGATTTCAAATAATAATTATAAACCCTCAAACCCTGTAATCCTAGCTTTTGGGAGGCTGGAGAAAAACATTTCATATTTCAGCAAAGCAAATGGGCACCATTAATGGTCACTGTTTGCTCTGAAGAATTATTTTCAATCATCCTTTCTCTGTTAGGGAGATGATAATATCTAGGTACAAACAGTTGAGTATTATTATTTATCTTCCTTACTATTTCTCCTCCACAGAAAAAAGTGGCTAAAATATATTGCTACCTACATTTCCTAAGTAAAAAAAAAAGTTACTTTCTTTTCTAAATATTTAGTCTTTGAAACATAGTGTATTACTGAGTAAAAACGATACTTACACATCTTGAAATTCTTCTAGAGTCTTTTGTGGTGTAAACACATTTAACAAACTAATTATCTGAAAAGAGAAGGTTTATAATACCTCAGCACATCAGGTAACTCTAACTCTACATAATTATAAAAATTAACATGAAAATGTATTAAAACTGAAAAACAAAGCATAGCGGAGCTCAGTATTTATTATTAGTTTTACCAAAACATCCTGTTACATGGTATATAAGAAAAGTTAAATGATTAGGATTCTCATCCTGGAAATAAGATGTGCTTTTAATCACATCACATTTTATGTGTCTCTAGTAACTTATTATGACAGAATTTTAACACATAATGTCATTCGGGCTCTGAACATAAAAAAGTAGAAATTACAGGCGAAAAAATATGAAAGCAATATGTTAACTCTGAAAACTGAAATACTATCTACAAATTTCTAAACTTTTGAAATATGAAGCTTGTATTTTTAGAATGATGAAGATGAATCCCTCACAGTATTATGTATTTACTTAGAGAGTTCTAGAAAGACCTTTACCACAAGACATTGGTCCTGGTACCCCAACAGTTAAACAGTGAGTCCCACTGCTTGAGAATCACACATATCCTCTATCATTTTAAATGACCAAGGGAAAGATGAATGATTGAGTAGATAGGATTGGGGTGGCTGGCTGACCGAGTGCAAAATAAAACCAAATCCATACTTTGATCTTCACGTCAACTCAAAATGGAACAAAGATTTAAATGTAAACCACGAAACCACAAAATATTAAACTGTGGATAAACATTTATGTATGTAATCCTGGTGAAGAAAAGCATTTTCTAAGCATGATAGGAAACCAAGGACATGTGTTGTGCTAAACCCAAACCAAGACCAACAAACCAAAAAAAAAAAAAAAAAAAAAAAATTAGTATGGCAAAAGCAACCTAAATGAGTTGAAATGGAAAAGAAGTGAGGGTTGATAGCTTTAATATACAAAGATCCTCTATAAATGCATAAGAAAGAGAAAAACAGCCCAAGAGAAAAATTGCCAAAGGCCACGGGAAACAAGTTCCTTAACAATAAATGGCTTAAAAAGTATGGAAAGAAATTAACCTCACAAATAAGAATAAAATATCATTTGTCATTTCTCAGGTTGGTAAAGTACAAAAACAAAAAAATGTATAAATGTACATAGTCCTGGGGGGATTCTGAAATAAAACACATTCTTTGATATTCTTTTTTTTCCCTCAGATAATCTTAATGAAAGTGCAAAACTTTCATTAACTTTTCACTGACAAAAAAAAAAAAAACTTTTCACTGACAGTCTTCCTTGAGGTCAATTTGTCAGCATATATTAAAATTAGAAATGTGCAGTATATGCTCTGGCTAAGAAGTTCACCTGGACAGGTGTGCAAAGATGCATGTATAAGGATGTTTATTGCAGCATTGGTTATAATAGCAAAAACTGGAAGCAATCTAAAAACCAGTAACAGGTGACTGGCTAAATAAATTATTGTGTATTGATAATAGTACACTATGTAATGTATTTGAGGTCCAGAAACATTCCTAAGGGAAAAGGCAGGACGCACAGTAACATAGCTGATTGTGCTCATGTATGTATGATACATGTGTAAGAATGCTCACCAAAACGTTAATGGTAGGGTTCTGAGGGATTCAATGATTTTTGCCTTGTTTATTTTATTTGAATTTAAAAAATAATAACCATAGTTTCATGTAACCTGAAAAAAAATTTTAATGTATAAAAATAAAGTATGCATTGGAGAAATTAAAAACAAATTCAAACCACAGACTCAAAAGAATAAACCTATCTTAGTTTTGTACATAATGTTCCTGTACCATAAAGATCCAGCATAAACGCTAAAACAAAGGGAGTCACGCAGAATTGAATGTAGTCTTGAATACTCATCCTCCACAACAAAAAAAGGGGTCACAAGGGGTGATCTCCAAAGCCCCTTCCAGACATTACATTTTATGATTTTTATAACATGGCAAGGTTATCAGAACCATGCTCTGAGACCAGTAGTGGACATACAATGTGCCTGAGTACCTCATTTTCTGAAGACATACAATTTCTCCTTGAAATTTACAGTGCTTTGATTTCTGTGGAGATGTCAAGTACAGCTATCTTGAATATCACACCATCTACTCACATTTATTTAAAAATGAAACGTCCATCATACAAAGTAAAAAGCCACTTTGTAGAACAATGTTTTTCTAAAAAATTATCTAGGTGTTTCTCAGTTTGTTAGGTCAATATTGTTGCCATTTTATAGGAACAGAAATAGTGAAAGTCAAATGATGCAGGGTTAATTGATATTGCTATCAGACCTAGACTGAACCATGATGCTTCTGGCTGACTTCAATTCCCCCAATGCTGATTAAGAATTATGTCAATAAGGGGCACCTGGGTGGCTCAGGCGGTTAAGTTATCTACCTTTGACTCAGGTCATGATCCCAGGATGGAGCCCTACATCGGACTCCCTGCTGAGTGGGGAGTCTGCTTCTGCCTCTGCCCCTCACCTCACTCATGCTCTCTCTCTCTCTCAAATAAATAAAATTAAAAAAAATTTTGTCAATAAAATAGAACCATTTAAATAGTTACTGTTATTACTAGTTTACTTGAGGTCTGAACTCAAGGTATTTCCAAAGACCCACAAGATTACCATATTGTTGACCATATTATCAGAGGAAAACATAGACATAACTTACATTTTTATGATTGACACATTTTAAGAGGACGAGTTCACGGTAAGCTCTCTTTGCATGAGTCTGATTCTGAAAAGGACGACTCAGTTTCTTGACTGCAACATTTATCCCAAGAACTGTATCAAAAGCAGCACTGTAATCAGGAAATATAATAAGGAATCTATTAGGATGATTCTGGAAAAGACTGCAGTGCACGGTCTTTATTCAATGTATTCTCTTTTTGACTAAGTAACAAATAAGGAAATACCTTTCAGCTTGTTTCCACTTAGGGTACCTCTACACACCAAGAGCAAGGCAAGGGGGCTAAGAGGGTAGAATGGACTGACTCCTTTGCAGAAGCACGAACATGCCAGCTGCAGTTAGGCACACTGACTTCTCATTATATTGGTTGACATTATTGTATTTGGAAACAAGTAATTCAATACAAAGCATGTAAGACCAGTCAAGAAATGAAGTCTTCAGTTTAAATATGCCAATAAATTGAAACAGTCACTGGTTATCACAGAATAAAATATAAATATATTCTGGCATATCACGGTGGAGGAGAGGGTTGAGCTCATGAGAAGAATATTATGAGAAGCTTTGTTTGTGTTTTTCCCCAGACAAAAGAATCTAAAAGAAAACAGAAGCCAGCATCTCAGCTCGTGGTAAAATCCCTAAGATACAAAACCCCTAATGTAAGCAATTACTATATATAAAATCCTACTAGAAATAACTCCTTGTACCATTATAGTATGAATAAAATCTTGCAGAGGCTGTGTTTCTGGCATCTCAAGTTCCCAGCTGAAAGCCATGGTTCCTTTTTCTTCCAGAAAATAGGAAAAATTGAGTAGCCTGATTGTACATTCTGTACAAACTAGTACTAATGGCACTCCTGGTGCTATTATTACCCTTCAGCTACTCATCAGAGGCCAAAAGCTGCTAAGGACCACCTAAGAACCGAAGCATCATTTAAACTATTGTTTCTAGGGGTGCCTGGGTGGTTCAGTCAGTTAAGCATCTGCCTTCCACTCTGGTTGTGATCCCAGGGTCCTGGAATCGAGCCCTGAGTTGGGCTCCCCGCTGTTGGGGGAGTCTGCTTCTCCCTCTCCCTCTGCCCCTCCCCGCGTTTGCACCTTCCCTCATGCTGACTCTCTCAAATAAATAAAATCTTAAAAAATATATTATTTCTATGTATTTATTTTATTCAGTTTGTAACACTGTTTTCACTTACTCATTTCTATTAGTATTTTTCTGCCAACAATCCTCACGTCAATCTTTTTTAAATCGAAGGCTAGAGATCATGTTACTTTGTAATTATTTCTAATTCAGGTCACATTATGTGTACATGTATACACATATGTAAATCTTCATGCTCATATGAAAATGCACCATTCGTACAATTTATAAAATGTTAATGATAAATCTACTTGTGCAACAATTAATATACACGTGTACTTGTACCTACATATATTTCTCAGTCTTAAAATTTGACAAGTTACACCTTTTTTGATCTCAAAAGTTTTTGTTCAAAATGAGCCAAATGGGAAGACGTGTACAGACACCTATTTCCACTACTAGTGCCAATCCTTGGAAAAACCACCTTCAATTATTTCTGGTTTGAATTCTTGTGCTCACTCATCTCCAAATATACTTTTATCATTATTTTCTCATTTATCAGTTTCAGAAATTGTTTATCTACTCCCCCAAAACTAAAGATTTAGTCACTTTACTTGAAACCCCCAACTCTTCCCAGTTTTTTGCTCTCATGTTATTTTAAACTTTTCCCTTGGTTACCTTTATAACTCCAAACAACGTGCCTAAACTTCTTGTTCCATCAACTTTCAAGGGAACCTCAGGACCTCCAGTATGTAAGATGAGGCCATCACAGTCCATCTCTTTGGCCTTCAGCACGCTCTGCTCTCTTTCCCTTCCTCCAAACTCTGTCTCAAATAGTCAAGCCAGAGAACATATCTCCTTACTCTACAACTAAGTTCTCTGGGCTTCTTTTGGATGTGTCCAAAAGTTGAAAACCAAGACAAAGAGACTATGTATGCAAGCACATGTCAAAGTTCCTAATTGCAGAGTTGAGATGACATTTCATTTTCTAAGGATCACATGACCCTCACTGCCACTCAAGAGAATGAGACGACTTCTGGCATCAAAGTCAAATGGATTTTCTTTTCTTATATTCCATCAGTTGTTCAAACATCATGTCCTTTTAAAGCTGTTTGACATGTGGACCATGACTTTCTAGCTTTTCCACCACAAGTTCCTAACCAAGGATTGTTCTTATTAAAAGAAAGGGAGCCTGGGTAGCTCAGTTGGTTAAGCATCTGCCTTCCTCTCAGGTGAGGATCCCAAGGTCCTGGGACTGAGCCCTGTGTCGGGCTCCCTGCTCAGCAGGGAACCTGCTTCTCCCTCTCCTCCCTGCTCTTGCTCTCTCTCTCTCAAATAAAAGTTGGGGGGCGGGAGGAAGAAAAATACCCCTTTCTGAAGGCTATCCCCAGTACTTTCTACCTTCTCACTCACATTATTGTTTGGAGTCTATTCCATTCTTGAAGATTTTTTTTTCTTGCAATTTCTTTCAAGACCTGCTGCACAGCTTCATCCCTGGAATTTTTTTTCACTGGCCTCCATGTTTCTGGTCATACATGTTCTCATATTCTCTTTCTTGGTAGAATACATCCTCAAGGAATTTCCTCAGAAAAAGTGTATGGAAGATAAATGATCTTATTCTGCTCTCAGCCTTGACTGATGGTTTGTCTTCTGACTTCACATTCAATTTTCTCTGAGAACTCCACAGATTTCCAACGTTGAGTACTGGTGATATTCATTCCTCGGCTTCCTGTCCTGTTCCTCAGCTTAATGATTTATCACAAAGAGCCATGTTTTGTTGGCATCACTCCAATAACCCCCACAACATCTACTAATCACTATCCCTCCTGTCCCTCAAAGATGACAGGAGGGATACTTCTGACTACATCTGACTTTTATGATAATCACTTCCTTGCTTCAACCAGCTAAACATGAATTTTCAAGCTCCCTCTCCCCACCTCCCATGGCTTATTTTTGCCTAATTTTTGAAATTTGACTTCTTTCACTCAACATTACATTTGTGAGACTCATCTGTTGTTGTGTGTAGCTATTCTGTGTCATTGCTATAATATGCCTTTGCATGGCTATATGACATAATGTTGATAGACACTTTGGTTGTTTTCAGTTTGCAAGCGATTACAAAAACATGGTCATAAATGTGCTCACACAGGGCTCTGAGTCTCCTATGCATGCATTTCTGATAAGTACATAGCTAAGGGTGGGACTGTATATATTTTAGTAGATAATGTCAAACCACTGTCAAAGTGGTTCATTCTACCAATTTCTAGACATTTGATTTTTACATATATTGACCCATGTCCTACAACAAGGCTAAGCATACTCTCATTAAATTAAGAAACAAGAGCTGGGGCTAATCTAATCACAAGAGCCCTTTAGAAGCAGAGTTTGTTCTGGCTGCTGGAAAGAGGAGAAAGTCTGAGATTTTTTATCGTGAGAAGGGTTAGACGGACCACTGCAGCCTGGAGGATGGAGGGGGGGGGGGAGTATTGTAAGAAGGAATGTGGGAGGCTCTAAAAGTGTGGTGGCCCTTGGCTGACAGAGAGCAAGAGATGGAGACCTCAGACTTACAGCTGCAAGGAACTGGGTCCTGTGACTGTGCTTGGAAGCACATTCTTTCTCAGAGCCTCCAGATGAGAGTGCAGCCCAGCCAACATCTTGATGTCAATTTGGTGAGATATTGAGCAAAAACTTGGGCAAGCCTATGCAGATTTCTGACCTATAGTACTATGATATTATAAATGGCTGTTTTTTTTCTTTAAACACCAAGTTTGTGGTAATTTATTATGCAGCACTAGAAAACTAATACATCTGCTCTTCTGTATTTTTCTATACTTTTGTCTCTTTGGGCTTCATCCTGGAATTTTTTCTTGATCCATTTTTCAGATCGATAAATCTCTCTTCAGTTATATGGTCTGCCTTAATTTCCTTAATTATGGAAATAATTATTTCCTTAATTATGGTCCCTTAATTTCATAATTTGATTTCTTATCTTACAGTCCTAGAGTTTCTATTTAGTTCTCTTTTTTTCTAAGTTCTCATTTTTCATCTTCCCTTTTACCATCCTGAACATAATATCATAGCTACTTAAAAGTTTGGATCTAATAATACCAATTTCCCCTCTGGATCTGTTTCTTTTCTGTTTGTGCTGTTGGGCATGTTGTCTAATCTCCTCAGTGACTAGTTATCTGTGATTATGTGTTGCTATCTAGAAATAATTTACTATCCAGTATGACACTGTTTTCCTCTAGGGAGAATTTAAATTCACTTCTTCTGGGTACCTGGTGCAGGGCACTAGCAATTTCAGTTCAAGTTCAGTGAACTGAGGTGATCTGAAGCAGAGTGGCAGTGCCTGCAGGGAACGGTTTCTTTTTGGTTCATTCTCACTTCCTGGATGCAGTCCTTTAGAGGACTCCATTCAAAGTGAAGAAGTTCACCAGGCCCCTTACAGGGCCCTGGGCTCCAATGCCTGTCTGCCAGTGCCCCCCAAGGCAATCTCAAGTATTACTCAGTACCTCAGCTGCCCATTCTAGAATTTTCAAATGTCCTCAGGGGAAAGAGCCCCAAATCCTGGGCTCCCCTCACTAGGCTTCTGCCCTCCTCTGGATCCTGGCTTAGTAATTCTTCATTCACCTACTTGCACTCTAAGTGCAAATGCTGAGCACGAGGGTGAGGACGGGAATGCTGGGAGCCAACTGGCATGAATGTTTCATAATGAACACTCCTATTTCTAGCCACTTGTGTCATCTTCATTTTCTGTATTTGTCATCTCTATACCCACAGCCTCTTTGGGGTTTTACTATAGATAGGTCCTCTTCCTTGTGCAAATGTCTTGTCTACTTATTCTCACTTCCTCTGCCCTGTTTATCTGCACCCAGTTCCCAATTACTTTTTACATTTGAGAAACTTGTTAAAAGCTCTTCTGCACTAACTCTCCTCCGATCATCTTGTTAGCTTCTGATCCAGAAGCTCTAAACCACTCATTTTAGAGATGAAACTATTAAGACCCACAAAGACAAAAGGATTTGCCCAAGGTCA